AGTTTGCACTGGATTGTCTGCATCTACAATTAATTGTTGAGCGGACGATTTCGAGTTAGTCATGTTCGTGATATTTTTGATGACTTTCCATAATCTTTTTTTATCATGACCTGCATTAATTATTTGCAACTTTTCGTATTGACGTTTCAATTTCTTTAATAAATTGTTACAAAAATTTCTATATCTATAATAAGTCATTTTAAATATTGCATTATCCGGAAACTGAACAAATTTTTTGTGTAATTTATCTCTATTTTTAATACAGCGCAGCAAACCTGGAGTAATCCAAGGTTTAAGTATTTTATAGCGGCGGCGCGTGAATGTTTTGTTTGTTGTATTATTTTCTATTATTTTAGTGAGCGAACAGATCAAATACTCCATCGCTGCGTTAGCATCACTTGAATTGTATATTGGAGACATATCTAAGTTTGCAAGGTCACGAGACACGCCCTCCTTATTTAGTTCTGTATAAGAATTAAAAGATTGTGTTCTAATTAAGTTTTTTTCTAGGCTTAGTAATAAGGTATAGTGGTCAGTTAGAGTAGTTTTTAACACTATAGTTTTTACGGTAAGGATGGTTTTGGCTAATATATGGTCTAAGCAATTGTGGTGTCTCGTCGGATGTTGATGAGTGGGGAGGTAGCCATGAGAAGCTGCTTGATTTAAGTATTCGCCTGAGTTGCTATCTTCATTGTCAAACTTAATGTCAATATTTAGGTCACCAAGAATAAATACGTTACGGAAAGATGAAAGTGATATCATAATATCACTTAGGGAAAGTAAAAAATTTGTGATATTTCTGTATGAGGGGGAGCGATAAATTGCTACAATTGCAATGTCATTCTCAATTTTTAAAATCAAACTGTTAGCATCCACTATTTTAGGTTCCTCTATCAATACATTGGGTATGTCGTTTTTGACGTAAAAAGCTTTGGGTAATCTACACTCAGTTAAAACAAAGATGTCAGGCTCAAAATTAATAGGGTTTAGTAACGATAAAAGACTGTCAAAAGTACAACTTATACTTCTAATATTTTGTAGAACTATTTTTAAATTAGAATTAGACATAGAATTAAACATGGGGCACTGATCTGGGTCGCATGTTATGGATTTATATTCGCAAGTTGCATCAATGTCTTGGTCTAGATCATTTACAATGGAGTCCGTGTTTGTGCTGTGGTGGAGAAGGAACGCGGCGCTCTAGGCGCCCTCATAATCAGTATTACTCACGTGCCTCGCTATTGCGCTCTTCCTAGCAGGACATTGTTCATCTCCTGTTTTATGATTACCTGGTTTGTTAAAGCGTACACAGGTGGCGCACTTCGCGGGTTCCGCGTGCTTAGTACACTCCTTGATGGAGTGGCCTGCACCGCCGCAGTGGCCGCTCGTGGGCTCTGTATCCCGGCAGAACTTTGCTGAGTGTCCATACTGTTGGCATTTGTAACATCTAGTTACGCGTGTGTAATCTCGAACCGCACATGAAGACCAGTTAATGTAGACACGTTGCTGTTCTATGAGTGTCCTCCGAATGGGAGCACACACTTCTAGCACATAGTTACAGGTAGCCTCGTCCTTTTTGCCTGACTTATGACTAAATTTAATTGCGCTCTCTATGTTGCTTTTATTTAAGCTAGGATGTTTCTCCGACAAATTTTGATCGTACAAGCAGTCAAATAATTCCTTATTTGACATGCCAGCGGGCACACCCAATAATATTATCTTTGGCCGTTTTTTGTTCGCATCTTCTAATTTCAGGCCTGATTTTTTCAGTTGTTCAGACTGTTTGAGCTTTAGTATATCTTCCTTACTCTCCGTGCTTATAATAACTCCTCCACATTTTGTTTTACGCATACCGCTGATATGCAGTTTCAATTCTTCAGGCTTAATTAGATTCTGAACAATTTTTCTAGTGTCATCGCTCGACGCATCTTTATTGGGTGGGTAAATAGCAATACTGTTCGATGGACATACTGAGGGCAAACCACTCTTCCTAACTATGTCCGCAAAAGACTGGGTTGATACTCTGGGGCCTGACTGTACGCAAGATTTTAAGTCTTTTAATTGGTCACCAACATTGACTTGTTCTTTCAATGTGCTGATCAAAGAATTGGCTGAAATATATTTTTGTTTTAGGGACTGATATTGCACCGCCAATTGAGAGACGCCTCCAAGTACTGACCTGCTAATGTTGCTAATTTTTAGCTTCTGCTCCGTATTCAGTTTCCCATCTCCAGAAATAGTGCAGATGTCATTCAGGCATTGTTCTATTTGACTCATCCATCTCTGAATTTCATGAGTCGAGACCGCGTCTATAGTCAGTGCAGGCGTAGAAGGGGTGAGGGCTGAAGCTTGAGCTGGGGATGGGTCCAATTCCACGTGCCGTCTAACGGGAGGTGGGCTACGACTCGTCATCGTACTTCTGTTAAACGGGCTACTCATTCTTCATAATTTTTAAGAAGCACAAGGTCACACGTAGCATCACAAAACACAAAGTGAAAAGCGCTGATACAGCGGCGACACAGTTACAGTTTTATTATTTATTAAATTTAAATTATATAATGCTAGCAGACACGTCCGTCTCTGCAGCGTGCCAATAGAGAATCTCCAAAGTAGACTCACTATCGTGAATAAAAAGTGCTCAAAACAAATGATAAGCCATGTGACATGTGTGAAAGCTTTTTGATTTAGACATGCTTCATCTGCGTCCCAAGTACGACACCCAATGCTGCAGTGTTCAGTGAACAATTGTGCAAATCACAGCAGATACACATTCAAAAAGGATGGAGTGTCATATTTCGCATAAGTCTTGTGTCAAATTTACGAAATTATTTATCCATAAGTATATTTTAGAGCAGTACTACTTGTTGTGAAAGAGTTTGTCCAGGGAAGTAATGCCACCTTATCTATTTCTGTCGCCAAGCAATAATGTTAGCACTCTTAACTGCATTCCGGTTTTGAAGGGTAAGAGTGCTGGTGAAATTACAGGCATGTGGTTAGGAGAGGTGGGCGTTTAAACGAAAAGCACTTTAAAAAGTTGCGTTTTAAAATAAGCTTTAAGGCTACATCGAAATTAAACCAACAAATTTACGTGATCTTTTTCTTCTGAAATTTACATTGTCAGTGAATTTATACTTGCGTATATTAACCTCTTCTACGTAAAGTATCGTATGTCGAAATTGCCAAGTTTACAAGGGAGCATTTCAAAGTTCTGAATTCACTGAAATGAGCATAACTTATTGTATTTAGCATTATCCAGTTTTATTCGAGAACGACTGTTAAAAGAACGAGCTTTGCCAAATAAACCTGAGTAATGCTAAAACTACGCGTTATGGTCATTTTAGTGAATTCAAAACTTTAAAACGCTCCCCTGTAAACTTGGCAATTTCGACATTGATACTTTACGTAGGAGGGGTCATTATGTTATACAAGTATGAATTCACTTATGATGAAGGACGTGTTATCACTTCTATAGTTTTGTGTACATGTTGATTTTAGATTTCTACACAAGTCTTGACGGTGTTAAAAATGGACTACATGAACACAAGCGAAATAAACAATCTGCTGAACATAGGTATCATTTTTTGCCATCACAAGGATACACACCCGTTAAAGGTTTGAGAAGACTTGCCGAAAATGCGAAACCGATTTAGCACGTAATATATATACATTTACCTTGATTTTTTATGATTTTGTACGTTCGTCTATTTTAGGTATGTATGTATTTCCAATTCTGTTTCATTCACCACATATTTCAGACTCTTGGGCATTTAAATTATAAACTTGAAGAGAAGTTGCCAGTCCACCATTTGATTTTTTTTAAAAACATGGGAGGCTTGTTTTGTTTATATATACAGTACCTAGTAAGGGACAAATTTTTCGAAAATCTATTTTTTAACGGAATCCTACTGCCTGAGCATTTAATTCACTTACTGAATTGCAAGGGATAACACTTCAAAATGCTACAATTTACTGGAGATTAAGTAACCTTAAATCTTAGTAAGGCACATCTAGCATGATTCGTGACCGGTCAAAAATCTAGCAAGTCACTTTGACCAATTCAAAACATAGTAAGTATTTGAGACTTGCTAGGTTTTAACTGTAACTTTGGAACAGATTACATTATTTAGTTTTTCGTAATAAAAAATAATTAGAATATTTTGTTTATTTCAAAGAGCGTCTCCACTACTTTCTATAGTCTGTTCCGAGTGTGCGACGTAGTCACCTCGTGTCGTAAGACAGCGTCAAAAACATTACATACAATAGAGGATCCTTTAAAGTATGAACAAATGGGAAAGAAACGTCTGAATAAAGTAAAGCAGAGACAGAAGAAAATTGCAGAATATCTGAAGAAAGAAATATTCGAAGAAAGAAATGGTGTGATGCAAATAAAAAAATGATAAGAAAGTTGATGTTTTTTTTATTAAATTTTGTATTCTTTAAGTCTATTATCATTGGTCATTATGTGAAATAATAAAAAGAAAAATACTTAAGAATATATATTTCTCAACTGAAGTTCCCTCTACGTTTCGATTTTAAAATATATCAAATATTAACTTTTCTCATACTGTTCTATACACAGCCTTACATTTACCATTTCCTAACATTTCTTGACAATACCATTTCCTGCAGTACCTAGATCGTTTTTGGATAAATATGACTCATATACTTACCTACCAGTTAGATATAACCATTTATATCTAACTGAATGTGTATTATTTCTTTATTGTGAATTTGTATAAAATTCTACGTTTTACTCTTGACCCTTTTCTTGTGTTGACAGATTACAATTTACATTAAAATGTTTTAGGTTTTTTTTCTTATAAAATATATTACATTTGTATACATCATAGGTACACTTGTAAATAAGTTTATATGGGTTAACTCTGGACATTTTTTGTGGTTTTTGAAAAAGAGCAAACATTGTCGTCTGTTCATTCCATTTGTTAGTAGGTCAATGACCTTAGAGGTAGTCTATATACTGTTATATTTGTTTGTTCTAGGTGGACACCATAAAAGGCACAGACAGCACAAAAGTTGTGCCCAGTTCATCTCAGCCCAAAAATTTACCAGGTAAGTCTTAGGGCGCGTTCCCATTATGTCGTGACGACAAATAGTCGTGCAGTTTAAAGTGTCGTTCGTGGCATGTATATTTAAATGAAGTTATTCACATATATTACAACACGAGATTGTAGTAACACAGAAAAGACCAATATTATGGACCCCCTCGGGCACGCAATACAAAGGAAAGGAGAGAGGAGCAGTTTAGCATGAAATGAAATTAAAGAATAAAGTTTTTAACATAAAAGTTACATGTTAGTGATTTTATGCATGTAACAATAATGTTATATATATATATTATAACTGGAAAACCTGGAAGACCATGTACGTCTTGTGAAAATTCTTCAGAATCTAGTAAGAAGCGCAAAAATACTACTCTGCTTAATGAATATGGATTCGAACACGTCTATGGTGCATATATTCAAGAGCTGCGATCTAAGGGAGAAAGTAATGAAGCAAAAATCGTGGAGGCATTGACGTCTACAGATGCAGAGAAAAAAATATCTAAAATTGATGGACGACTCTAATACTATCCAAACGCTGAGCGATCAAGAAGCATTAAGTGTATTTATTGAATTGATTGCATCTGACCAGGGCTCAATATTTACATTTGAAGAATATTTTGGATGAACGGAACTGTTTCTTACTACCGCCTTATTACAAAATACAAAAAAGTAAACAGAACTGTTACCCACCTGCATCAGCTATTGAAATTATAAACACATGTGCAATAATGTTATCCCTACAGGATTTATTACATCACACAACGGCCAGGATATTGATGATAGATTCCGTGTACAAAAACGGTTTGAAACAGTTGGTTTTATACAGTAAATGGACATGTGATGGCTCGTCAGGTCGAAGTGAGTATAAACAAAGACTTCCAGAGGAGTCTTCCAGAGGAGAACTTGTGTCAGACTCTTACTTATTCATAGGAATCTGTTGTGCCCATCAGATTAATTGATGAAACGACTGGTACAGTTGTTTGGCAAAATCCTGCAGCTTCTTCCGCGAGATTCTGTCGCCCTATTTTAGAAATGTTAAATTTTATACAATGCCATTTATTACGAGGTGGGGTGTCTGACTTTTTTTCTTGAGTTTCTAGAATTCTCGTACCCGATTTCTCGAGTTATTCGACAATTTTTTCTAATTCCGTAAAAAATCGGCTCAATCAACTATAAAACTAAATGTGAAATTTTCGAAAGTTGTTTTGGCTTGGGTGTTCTGAGTTATGCCCCGGTATAAATTCCATCGTTCGTGGTCCCAGGTTCGATTCCCAGTAGAGCCAATTTGGGAAATGAACTTTTGTAAATTGGTTCTGCTCTGGGATTCTGTTGCTCTGATACTCATGGGGAGTATGTACAGAGAGTTCCCTAGTTTCCGACCAGGTGATTGTTTTACAATAGAATACCAAGACCAGAACCATTTAGAAAAGTTAATTTGTTAAATTGATCCTACCGGTATCGAACCCGGGAGTCTCATCCGGTGCCCACAGTGCAAACCGTTAGGCTATCAAGGTTGTACTATTTGTATTATTATGCATTGTTTGCATGTGAAAGCTACAAATTGCTTAGACTTTAAAAAAAAATCAGCTTCAATTACCTTCTTTGTTTCTTAAGTTGGTATATTTTGTCATTCATCCAACTTTTGATTTTTAATGCATTTTGGCGGTGTAAGATGTTCTCTGTTAATACTTGTCACTTTCTTCATAAGTTCAACCTATGTTTCCTGGATAAATTCCTGTATTCTCTCCTTTCTATGCACAGTTCACTCATTGATGTAATCACATACCAAATCTTTAATATTATGGTCTTTTATCAAGCTTGCATCAGCTCTGGTTTCCTTTCTTTTCTTACCATTTTCTTAACCCGTTCGTGCATAGTACTGAAATTATACTGCGCTCAAAAACGTCACCTCTTTTCTATATGCCGTAGTGCTTACATTGATTCAATATAATTATTACGGTTTATCACTGACGACGGTTGATTCCGTCAACAGGCATAGTCGTACTGCTCATAGTTCTTGCAAAAGGTTTTTTGTGCATGAAAAAGTATGGCTATGACGGTAGTAGGGTATTTACCCTTTTATACATATTATACTTTTTTCATGAGATAATTACAAAATTAAAATGCGCGATATTGATTGCGCAAGAGAAACGCTTTCCAAAATAAACACTTAGGTACTAATTAATAATAATTATTATAATAACGCACACACTCAACATTGCCCCGCATTAGGGAAACCCTGTGTCGCGGGTGCCATGGACACACATATAGACAACCACAAATTACACCTAAACTCACGAGAGAAATAAATGTAGGCCATACACACATTTCTCCCGAAAAACCTAATAAATACTTTTGGGATTATGGAAGTTCATGCAAACGTTATTTCGGGCAAATGTATTTTCGGTCTTCTGCTTCGTAACCCGAGCCGCACAAAGAGTACAACAATATTTGAAAGTATTACTAACATGTATTAAATAATATTTTAATAATAACATTACCACCAAAGCGACTATATGAAACTTTTGTTCTAAATATTATATTTCAAACAATTGAAATTGACGTGATGGGTCTCGTTCAGTCTTTTACGCAAGCAATGAGTCGGAAAGACACAGTTAGCTATTTGATTATTTTGATTGCTTTTGTAATTTATATTTACGATTAATTTAAATGTAAATTAAATACTATATATGCTAGTGCATAAAATAACACTTTTAAATGATAACTATGATAACACAATGTAGTACTTACTGAAAATATGATATACCATCCTGTTTTTTCGCTTTAGTTGAATAATTGTTACAAGGTTTTACCACACAATACGGCATCATTGACAAGCGCGCTGTCAGTCGAACAAACGAAGACTAAAGCGTGATTGATGCTCTGTATACGATTTTAACGCCCTGTAAGTTCGGACACTTTAGCGCGGACCCAACGTCCATTTATTTGTAAGTCAATGCATCTCAATGATATATGTATAAACAAGGTAAGGTAAGTATATTATATTTTTTAAAACGCGGCTTGCAACTATCAGTCTGCTCTGTGTTAAATATAATTCGGATTAATTTCTTTTGGATGGTAAAGAGATTTGGGGCGTCCGTACTATTATTACCCCATAAAATGATGCCTTAACTCAGCAAAGAGTGCGCGTAGGCGTAGTATGTGACTATTGCTGTTTCTATGCTAGTTGTCTTTTTGATTTCGCGTAGTGCGAGAAAAATGAGATAATTTTGATTTTATTTTTTGGATGCGTAAATTCTTTCACGCATTGTTTTTGTTTGTTTCACGCATTATTTCTGTGTTTGTGTCATTGTACTTGAAATTGAGCTGTAAAGATTTTTGATGAGGATGAAAAGTCATTAATTTAGTTTTAGAAAAATTAATAATTAAGGTTATGGTCATTCAACCAGTCTGAAGTTTTAGTAAGAAGTGTGTTTAGTTTTTCATTAATATCAATATTGTTCTGACTTGGAAGTTAACATAGATACATCATCCGCAAACAGGACACATGGTTCTTCCATTCCCTTCCTCTTAACTGAATTAAAAGCTGAAGAAACGGCGGTAGCTGAATAGTTCGACCTACCGTCTTTCAAGCACAGGCCGTGGGTTCGAACCGAGCTCGCACCTCTGAATGTCTTGGAATTCATGTGCGAAATTTAATTTGAAATTTACCACAAGATTTTCGATGGCGGAAAACATCGTGATGAAACCTGCACGTCGTCGGAGAAGATTTACAACCCTCGGAAAATGTGAGAAGCCCCCGACCCGCATTGGGCCAGCGTGCCGGACTATGGCCTAAAGCCTTGCCTGAGAAGAGACCCCCCCTCAGCAGTAGGACGTATAAATGGATTGATTATGATGACTTGAAATAAGATGTGCGAAAGATGTGTCAAAAAAATATGTACCAAAATAACTGTAAACTGTAACAAAATATTATAGGTTACAGGTCCATGGACCACAGGTTAAGGCTGCCTTTCCACCAGATATGTGCGACGTAGCGAGGCGGTGCGAGGATGTGTAGCAGCGCTGCAAAACGGTGTGATGATTTCCACCAAAGTTGTGCGAGGATGCCTTACGAACTCTTTTCAGATATGCGCGGGCGGGGTACGGTGTGGTGAGGTGAGCGATAGCGATATGTCAGTGTCAGTTAATGTCATACTTTCAGTAGCTCTAGTTTCTACACCGTTTTGCACACATTCCCCGCCCGCATCCCTCGCACACATACCTCGCACACATTTCTCGCATACATTTCTCGCTATTTTTAACCGACTTGAAAAAAGGAGGAGGTTCTCAATTCGACTGTATGTTTTTTTTTGTATGTATGTTACGCGATAACTCCGTTATTTGTGAACCGATTTTCATGATTCTTTTTTTTGTTGGAAAGGGGGTACTTCCATAGTGGTCCCATTTCATTTTGAAGGAAATCATCCACCTCTAAAGGTGGCTGTTCATGCATGAAGATTCATTTTTATAATTAGCGCCTAAATTTTCTTAAGGAGCAATTATTTTAATGGTTGATTTTGCTATTTTTCCAATTCAAGGCGTTTTTCTCCAATTCAAGGCATTTTTCTCTCAATATTATTTGAGTAGTGAGAACCGATTTTTATTATCTCCAATGTCAAGTCCTGTATAGTGGCGGATTTAAGGATATTTCAATAAAACTTAGCAAATAGACGTAATTCCACGTACTTTTGAGGTTGTTTTTTTTAGTACTCTGTACTGAGATTATGTATGTACAAATACTTAGGCTAGGAAAATGAAGTAATCCATTTGGAATTTTTACTCGCTGGTGGAAAGGCACTTTTTACACTTAAACCCTATGATATTTAAGACCATATCTGAAAGGTACAGCTGAGTACTTGTCTATTAATACTTGTACTAGAATTGTTTTTGTATTTGTATATTTACACTTGCAGGTGCAAAACGTGGAAGTGAAGGATGTATTTGCAAATTTTGTCGAAGAGAAATTATCGGGTAAGTTACACAAATTGGGTATGATAGAAAACAACAGCCAGTATGCTATTTATTTAGTACATATTTTTTGTATAAGTACTTTTTCCAGTGTCCATAGCAATTGCAGTGTCTGAGCTTCAGGTACTCAGAGTTTTAAGTTGCAAAGATTTGAGGGGCACTGCCGCTGCACCCTGAGAAATAAGTTGATCAGTCCCATGTAATGGCAGTACTTTCCTAGACGAACTCCTTCACCAGGAGTACTACTGCTACTAAATAATTACTACCAAATTATATAATTATAACAATGCGTAAAATTTCAAAGTTCAACGTTTTGCAATAATAGATTTTTTTAAGGTACTATCAATGTAAGGTACGATTTATTTATAGGTACTTATCTCGTACATAATCCAATAAAAATCGTAGCAAGACAGACCTGTTAAGACTGTGTGTTGCAGGCTCCAATACATTTGCGTGCAATGCGTGAACGTGAAATTATGCAGTAAGTGCGAGGCAAAGGGCTGTCATTGCCTGCATTACGTGCTGAGGATACCCGAGTCCCGGCCAAAGGTCAGTTTAACTCTATTTATATTCCTCAGCATCCATAATATTTCGTTATTTTCGAAATCTCCACCTTACAATCGAAATATCTAAAGTGCTATTGGTTGTTGAGACAGTTCTCCCGGCTTTGCTACGATCACGGAAGAAAAAAAAATGAAGAGCCGTAAGCATCGATCAGTATCAGAACTTTACACTATCATAAACACTATGATATCTTGATAATGATTGGTCGTATCTTTTAAAAATAGACGTAACAAATTCCGGACTGTTAATATAATTTAAACTTTGTCGATGAAATTTCAATAACTATCATTGCAAGTTACGTTTTGATTTTATATTCAAATTTCAATCAATTTGCTGCAGTCTAGCGGCGATAGCTGAAAAAGTACGAACGATTAATGCCTATTAACATTCTCTGAAAAAAGTCAGTACGTACGGTATTGCAGCAGTATAAGGTTTACTTTCATTTCTTATAACAAAAAGTCTTTTACGATAAACAGAAAACGAAAAAAATGTTAGACTTAAATAAAATAAGACTTAACGATGAATATTATGAAACACCACTATGGATAATGTTATAAGTGCGACTGTCATTTTTGCACTCCAAAGTAGCCAATATAAGGCATTTTTCCATGAATTTCTAGGGTTTTCGCGAGATGATAGACACGAAAATAAAGTTTGCGGAACGCTGCATACTGTTGGCGCACGTGCCGCGCTCACTAAGCACTTCTACTGTATTTATTATTCTCTGGCTTCGATGGATAACAATATACAGGGTTATTTGTAAAATACTAATAACCTCAGGACTATATTACTAACATCATAAACAACAACTTTCTAGTGGATCAATGGGAATAAACACCAGTGGGGCTAGTAGAGTAGCACAATAGGGCGCGACTTGCGCGAGATATTGCTATTGGCTTTATTTAGAGTGGTGCCGGGCGCGAGTGCGTGCGAACCAAATGTACGTAGACGCTCGTTGCGTTTACAGTGGCCGCACGCGGCGGCGCTTGTCTCGACGAGGGCGCGGGCGCGGGCGCAGGCGCGGGTGCGTGCGGGCCGCGCGGTTGGCTCTATTGGCTCGGTCCGCCCGTACCTTTCACTGTGCTTGGTCTAGCGTCTGTTTGCGATTTCGACATGTGGGTCTACCCGCTCGTAGCCGCTTTGGCACTGTGAAAGGGTAGACGCCAAGGAAATGAGTCCATTCTCGCATAGCGATCCCGCGCTTCGTGGCGCTCTCGCGCAAGCCGCATCTTATCGTGCTAGCCTTACTCGGGGCCTGCCGCAAACTCTAAAACAATATTACATTAACCTTACATTGACCTTTCGTACCATGACGCGCTTAAAGTAAGCTTATTATAATGTAAAAACTATGATGTTTTGTTGGCAGCTTTACTAAACTATATTATTTTCGAATTTATTGTCTAAATATTGATTTGTAATGATTAAAAGTTATGTTGAACTTATTTATTTACATAAATATCTTTAATATTTTGTTTATATGTAGGATAGGAAATAATTTCTCGTTAAATAAAAATACGCAATGTTTATTTCGTAAAATCATAACAGCGACATCTATATTCTCCTTGGCGACACTGTCAGTTGACACTAGACTATAATTCCGAAAGTTCCGAATTGAAGACTCAGTTTGTTTTATTTATTTTTCTCCATGAAAATATTGAAAAATAATTGAAAACAACGTAATTTTAATAGATTGTAATAATTTGCATATTTTTATTTTTTTAACAGGTAAAATTCTCTGAATGTAAATAACATTATGTACTTAACGTTATACTACGATAAGACGATTCGGAACATCAAAAAGAAAGAGATGGCATAATATAGTTCATATAGCGTTATTTCTTTTCCTATTTTTAGTAAGGAATAGACAATATTGGGAAATCATTCGTTCTTTCAATCACTTTAGCAATAATATATTACTTGGTTGACAGGTTTGTCATGGTACGAATATGAGTAATAAGCTTACTTTAAACTTACATTGAAATAAGATTGTTTTTGGAAAGGTTATGGCCCCCAAGATAGTTTTAGGAATACTTTTTATAATTGTTTACTCATAACAATCAACTGATTTATAAATAAACACAAATGTTACTTAGTGAATATTTGAAATATCAATGTCGTTGTTTTTATTTCGACAGTTCCAACAATAGCCAGTGTGCTTTTCTTAAAAATAGGTTTTATGTCTATAAACCATTAAACCGTAGTTTCTGAAAGTGATCCCTACCTACCTACTACGTTGACGAGTCCTAGGGGTAGGGGCCTCGGGAGCAATTGGGGGGCATTGATGCTGTTCCGGGGGTGCCACCGCATTTGAAAAAAAACTTGAATCATCTACATAAACTACACAATTTTTTTTCTTTGTGATTGTTTGTGTTAACTTGATATAAAAAATACGCGTTTTCGATTATTTTTTGTGGTGAAATTATTTATCTTGCCTAAGTAAAGGTGAACCAAAAAGTTTGGGAATCTATTCTATAAACAAAGTCATATTAAGTTAAAACCAAGATAGTTGACATGCAAATTTTGACAACAGGAGGAGGTCAAGAGAGTATTGTGCCGCGTCCGCCGCGAGCTGAATGCGGGGCTGCAGCCCGTCGTAGCCAATGACCCTGACAACATCGACGATGTTGAGGACACCGACAACGCTGAGGACACCGACGACGCGGACGAAACCGACAACGCTGACGAAACCGACAACGTTGACATGTCAGCTAATATTTTTATGTTTGTTAATTTCATTTGATCTGATGTGTTCACCCATCTTACCTCTCAGCATCAGCATAATACTTCGATGATGTTTACTAGATGTTTTGAGTGTAGGTACTGCCGCTTTTTAGTTAGCCGACGCTAACTAAAAAGCGGCTAAGTGACAAAATATTTTTTTGAGATACAAAAAACGGTAACCCAGTTTTAGAATATGGATATTGTTTAATGATATTTCAGCTATGCATCGTTAGGGTAAGTTCCGATAAGTCGAACATATTAACTAATTTTAACTGTTTTAAAAGAGAATTTTGTGCTCTATTTTTTTTTTGCTATTTAACACGGTTATTTGACCATTTGTCAATTAATTAAATTTTTATTGAATTGATATTCAATTATCTTTTGTGAAATTACTCCACTAGTTTGTTATAATTGTTAATACAAAGATCGAACACTCAGAAAAAATTCTTTCGATCCGGTCGGATTCCAACCGACGTCTTCTTGCATACCGTGCCAGACGCTATACCAACTAAGCCACGGAACGAACCACGTAGGTAGTCGTAAAGGGCTAGAATACAAAAATAGTGTTATCATAAAAAAAAAGTTTTCCCCGGCTTTGCAAATCCAAATTCCCAACAAGGACTTATGGAAAAGACGTTTAGTATACTAGTTTCAAAATTGGATAACAGTGCTTGATTAATCAAACATTGTTTAAGCTTAGGGCACTTAACTCTAAAAATGCGTGGTGGCTCGAATTATGTGTCCGGCAGTGTATAATAACACACACACGCATAGTCCCGCATTGGGGAAACTCTGTATCGCGGGTGCTATGGACACACATATAGACCACCACAAATTACACCCAAACTCGCGAGATAAATAAATGTAGACCATACAAATATTTCTCCAGCCCATGGAATCTAACCCGGGACTTCTGTGTTGCAGATCAGCATTGCAGCATGGTAACCGTTCGGTCACGGAGTTAGTTATATTATAACACTGTTGTATATTTCTTCTTGCGCGAGCCTCTATATGTATATCCACCACGGATAGCTTCAAATGTTTGTAAGGGATATGAAAAAAAAAGGCACTATTTTTCGAAGTCGGTAATTACGTCTTTATTTAATTCACAGCATCAAAGAGGAAGTGAAGGAGGAGCCAGGCACTGGGCCTGATGAAGATTTTCTCGACAACGCTGTTTACGATGTAAGTAATTTTATGATGAATGGACATGCGCTTAACTATCATCTTTCTCTTTTAAGTGGCAATTACGGTACGCGCTTGTCTAAAAATTGCCTTTTCCGCATAGTTTTGAATAAACACAAATTGTGGTCTTCGGGAAACACACGTGTTTTTTATTTTTGACGACCTCGGTTACCCAACGGTTTATACTGTGTGTACGTTAATATATAATATCATTTTACGTTACTATTCATAATGGTTATGAATTGTGCTGTGTACGGCTGTTTTTCGTCATCATTCGTCGTCGTAAACGAGATAAAGAGAAGAGTTTCTTTCATTTTCCGAAAGATGAAGCGAAGCAAGTGTTTACTTACTTGTCTGAGGGTCGTATTCCAGAACTCTATTCAATGATCAAGTCAGGACTTGAGTATGATTTAAAGCACTGAAAATCATACTCAATTCCATTAGGGTCTTACCATTAGGGTCCATTCCAGTGCTTGAAATCATACACAAGTCTGCTCAAGTCCTGACTTGAGCATTGAGTAGAGTTCTGGAATACGACCCTTTGTCTCATTTAGTTATTGTTTTCTTCATTTATTTATTTAATGCAGAGTAATACATAATACAGATTTATTATATCAATATAATAAGGCGCCATAATTTCGTGTAGTAGACAAGAGTAGAGTGAAGTAGCGAGCGAGTAGAGAGTAGAATTTTCAATTTCTTTTGCCTGTAAATATTACGTAGGGAATATACCTAATTATTAACTAGGTAATGATAAACATGGACACGCAATTTCAAATACCTTGGTTAACTTTTTTAAAAGTACCTGTCCAAAATACAAAATTTTAAATGCTTTTTTGTATTTTTTTTAACAAATCTTCAATATTATTCTGGTTAGTGAATTAATGAGAAATATAATATTATATAGATATAAATACCTAATGAACGTGTGTTATTATTACGATTCTATTAATAGAACTATAGATAACAGCGTTTATATCGCGTTAGAATTTTCGCTATGTTGCCTCTCTGACCACGTAACGTAATAGTACGAGATAGTGATGGGTAACCCTAAAACACTTAAACTATGGAAAGTAAAGGACATGTTATGTTGACATACATAAATCAGACGTTATATGTATGTGATGCATTTCGACGTTGAAAACATAACCACGTTATTGTCTTTGTTTAACTCTTGTGTGTCATCTTATGCCAAAAGAGATAGCATTACAGTGGTCTGTGTCGAACACGGGAATCGAAAATACGTAACGCCAACCGTGTCCATTTCGCAGTATATGAGGTACATGATACGGTTGTTAAAGGAAAGTACATTAAATGTCAAAACAACTGTTTTTCCAAGTGTTTTATTGAATTATTCGCATGTATTGTAATAAAATGGACATATATTGATAGTGAGAACAATTAAGTATTAATAAAATTTCGTCGCTGCAGCACTACGGGATGAGGCATTTGAAAGAGCGAAGATCGACCGAATGTAACATTGTTCAGCCACGTGTTATTTTTCTGTCTATAAATCACACAAAAGCCCAAACATCTCATGTAATTAGATATATTTAAGTAGTTTATTCATAAATCTTGCCAAGTTTTGCTTTGGATTCTATTCTATTAGTCTTCAGATTGCCTGTTTGTTTGCATATTTTGAAGATTGTTGTTAACGATTATTCTGAGATAGTGTTGTTCTTGGAAGCGTACATATTATCGATATTCTGTTATTAAAATAATTCACTACGAGGTTTTTATTATTTTATTATTATTATTATTTTTACAATTTCAAGTTTACCTACAAATAAAAAAAGAATGGTTGGAAATCATACCGCGGTATAAGTACCGAATATAAACATTGAATCAAAGACCATCTTCATTTATTTTATTCGTTTCATTTTGAATAGTCAAATTTTAACATAACTTTGAATGCAACTAGATTACATGATAATGCAATTCCATCATTAGATTTATTGGTAAATAATTTTATATTTAATTTAGATTAAACAAGACTCACTTACTAGGCATTCTCAGTTCCTGAAAACAAAATTATCCACACGTTTCCGATTTTTTCCGACTGACAACTTTAGCTACTAAAAATTCTTATTTTATAAAGCCAGCAACACAAAGACCATGTTGGTCTAACGTTGCCGGGTGAAGGTACCAACCACAAAGGAACCAACGTATTGACAGCCTATTTGCCTTGCCATCGTTCGGTGTCACTCGCCTAGCTGACCGAAAGGCGCTCGGCCAATAGTAGTCAATTGATTATAATCATTGTCATAATATAGAAATTGAGTATAATCAGACATTTGCATGCTATTTAATATATGCGAAACATGTTTATACTAACACTGTCTCTTGTTACATCTCCTGTTGTTATATACCACGTTTTAAGCAAATAAACGTATGATAATAATATTATTATTAATAATATTAGTACTTTCATTTATTTCCAAAATTAAATGGAAGTATTAAAGATTCACTTAAATCAGTCTGATAACTGAACTGAACTGATATTAATTCTATATCAATGCATAAATACTAAAAACCTTACACTATTTGGAATCTGTTTAAAAAATTATCTATGAAAATATGAATCTTAAGGTTGGAAATGTATAGGATTTATATTTCAAAGTTTTCTCTTTTTTATATACTCTCAAATTACAAAATATTTTTTTTTCTGTGCAAATTCACTTTTCGTAATATTTGAGTATTTATAGACGCAAAACAATAAATTCAAAATTTCATGTGACATTCCCGGATATTCCCAGATAAGCTAAAATATTCCGAAATGGAATATTGATTTACTTTAATTAAATGTTTGCATGTCGATAATGACTTTTCGATAGATTATGGTACGACACTAAAGAAATCGGCCATTTGTTCGTTCAATTTTTGTTTAGGTATGCACGTTCATTCCGTAGTTAGGGCAGCTCCTTTCTTTTATTTTTTTTCCATCCTCTAAGGGTAACCCTGCCACTTCACGCACACATTGACGCGTGCGCAGATAGCGCCTTGCTGTATGTAGTGGTAGTAGGTAAATAACTTTCGAGGGTTGTATGGAGTGTCTCCGGGGTGTGTCGTCGCCTTAGAGTGAATACCTCGTATGTGATGTCTATGTAATTTTTCAGGACCAATATAAAAATGTGGTGTAAACTGTAGACGCAATAATGTTTGTAGTTAGCATTTTAATTAGTTAAATTATACCTCTTTCAGATATGAAATTACTTTAATGATATATTTGAGCAAGAAGTTATAAGCTTTTCTTCAACAAAAATCATTAAAAACGAAAATGCGTATATGAGGTTTTCACTAATAAGGCGACGATATACTTATGGTTAAAATTAATTTTTGGTTAAATTTGTGGCAGGAGGAGCTTACAAAGGAAATGGACATCAAGCTCGAAGAGGAGTGGCTTGATGAAGCGAAGGAAGAACAAAACTTCTCCGTGTTCACGCACACCGCGGGTTAGTACATTAAGTCATTACAGTTAGGTATAAACATTGATAATTCATTTTAAAGTTAGGAAAGTTTAGGAAAATTTGGACGTTTGTCATTTAAAATTTGGGGCTCGGCAGTTTTTGCATTTGCCAATAAGTGATAGCCAGCTGTACTTGTTAACGCGAGCGAAATCGCGCGCAGACACTGGTCAATAATAAAATTAAAATGTCGGCTATAACCTTAAAATTGTACATGAATTCTCTTCGGACCCCTCGTCATGGCACAATTGAAACGAAACTTGTTGTTAAAGACAGTATTAGCTCCATAGTATCAGGTTTAAATAGTAAATAACTTGTTTAAATGCCAACAAGTTGTATAAAAGACAATTAATTAAATTAGACCAATTTCTGTTGTCCCGATTTTTCTCGTCTCAAACAGTGAAACAATTCTTACATGAAACTGATCAGCATTGGAAAAAAATTGATCAATTTTATGGACAACTCACACTTGACCAAATAATTGACTATGCCACATTATACGTTCGGCGCACTATAATTTTCCGGAATGAATAAGAAAGAAATACTATAAATGGTCAGAAATGAATTTATTGTTTCTCAAAATATTACGGAGAATACTCCGTTTGCGTTCATACGAATGAACCAATTTTGAAAACATTTACGCCACTGCTCCGTGAGAATCTCTGAAAAATATTTTTTATACTCTTCGACAGCAGCTTCAGGTGATTAAAATCGTTGACCGCGTAACTGGTTCTTAATTTTTGGAAATAAATAAAAGTCCCAAGGTGCCAAGTCGGGACTGTACGCGGGATGGCTCAAAAAATACTTTAAATGTTCAGAAATTAATTTATTGTTTCTCAAAATATTCTCCGTTGTTAGCGTTAATGCGCTTTTTCATACGAATGAACCAATTTTGAAAACATTTATGCCACTCCTCTGTGACAAACTCTGAAACATATTTTTCATACTCTTCGATAGCCTCTTCAGGTGATGAAAATCGTTGATCGCGGAAATAAATAACAATTACAAGGCGCCAGGTCGGAACTGTACGCGGGATGGCTCATAACGTCAACGTTGTTCACATTAAAAAATTCATTTGTCTGTCTGGCCGTGTGAGAACTGGCTTTATCGTTGTGAAAGATGATACGGCGTTTACGGTGTTTGTCAATAACTTCCGGCAAACAAATGGTCGTGTACCAATCACTCTTCATGATACAACGATTCTCCAAAGCAACAGTAGCCACGGGTCCAGTTTTATTAAAAAAAAGAAGCAACCATCCGCTTAGAGGCACTTTGCACGCACGCCGCTTTGGTTGGTTTCGGCTTGTCTCGAAAGACTCACACGCTCGCTTGCTGCTTTGTTTTGGGATCGTAACTATAAATACATGTTTCGTCACTTCTTACTATGTCTCACACCAAATCGTTGAATGTGGTAAGCATGGCATTGCACCAAGAGACGCAATCCGTTTTTTGAGTCTAAGTCAAATTGTGTGGGATCCACCGAGAGCACACCTTTTTCACACCCAAATGTTTGTGTAGTATTGATTGTATTTGTCTCATGCCCAAATCTCATGTTATGTCACATGCCTGTCTGTTTTGATCATACGGCGCACAGCATCGATGTTTTTGTAGTTCACAGTAGTAGACTGGCAACCATCACGAAATTCTTCACTGAGATTCACACGACCGCGTTTGTATTCTGCAAACCAGCTATAAATAGTCATCTTGCATGGTGCTTCATCGCCAAAATTAATTTATCATTTTATTTTCATATTAATTTAACAGCTCAGCTCAGTTTAAAGCCGAGAGAAGCTCCGCTGAGCTGTTAAATTACACTTGAAAGGCGTAGAAAATCATACTACGAAAATTTTCACGAGTTAAATCCATGGTGATGTAGACAACCAATTTCTAAAATGACGCCACAATGTGAAAACAATTGACAGTCAGATGAAACAAACTGTATTCTACAACAAAAAAGTTCCATTTTCAAATGTTGTAATTACTTTTTAAATATTGTTTATGTAAGTGGCCAGTTCCGGAAACTTATAGCGCGCCCTATGTACTCGTATTTTTATTCAATTTAAAGATAGTTTTATTAGTTTATTTATAGCCGTTTTGTTACCTATAAACTTATTGTTACTATTGGCGACTATGAGTCGACTGAAAAACTACTTCCCGTTTCGGATTAGGTTTAAATAACACACACGCACACGCACACGCACACGCGCACGCGCACGCGCACGCGCACGCGCACGCTTCGTTGCTAAGTGTAGTAGCTCCCTAAAGAAAAAACTGTATCCTTTAGTGGTGTAACTGATCGTGTATATAAGGCTTAGGTTAAAAGCCGTCTTTTCCAGATTACAATATATCAAACTATTGTTTTTTTATTTTCAGTTGAAACCACGACAGATAAGATACGCCAAAAACGACCCTCGCATAATATTACCACAGCACCTCAAAAGGAACCACACTTCAGTTTAGCAACTAACGCACCCAGCTGCAGTGGATCTGGGGTTGACATAGACAAGCATTTAAAAATAATGACCATAGTTCCATATCGATTGAACGAATTGTCAAATTTTACGGTGTACACACATGCGACGGAAAGGCAAACAAACAAAGGTAAAAAAGATCCTACAATCGCAGCAATATTAGTCTTTGTTGCGGCCACTTGACCACTCATACGGACCATACCACTATATATAATCATATGGTAATAGATAGATTTAGTTCTTTATATACCTTCATACAGATGGTTTTGTGGCACAGTAAAGACTGACAAATTACTTTGTAGACCCCGTTATCAGAATTTACGGTAGTGGAGATTTAGGGATAATTGGAACCATAATGCGGCATGCGCAAAATCAAACATCATCAGACATCCCCACTGCTGGGCATGAGTTTCCTGTGCGGAGAAGGTTCAGGCTAGTACTCCACGCCTTCTTAACGTAAGTCGGTGACTTCACACGTTTTCCAGGGGTAGCGAACCTTTTTCGACATGTCACTAGCTTTTTTATTGTATATTTTATAATACTACGTGACGGGACGTACAAGTCGTGTGCATGGTGATAAGCGACACGCCTGTCCCTAAACGCCCAGTTACAAGAGAAGAAAGTTTTCGCGCGGCCGCCGCGCGGCGACCGCCCAGTTACCACGCTTTCATGTACATTAATGACGATTCTGAATTCTATTTATTGTGCAACAACATTTAAATTCCCCTCAAAAAAATTATCGCGGGCCGCCGCGTAGACCAAATTCAAGCCTAGCTAGCCCGCGTGCCCGGAACGCTCATTTAAATTAAAATGTAAAAGCTAAGCGAATAGAGCGTATTTTGCCATGACAGTTAGACGCACGCGATCGCTGCGCGGCGGCAACGCAGTCTCCGCTCTTCGACCGCGTGGCGGCCGCGCGGTTGTATTATTCAGAGGAATTTAAATGTTGTTCCTTAGTAAATAGAATTCAGATTCGCCATTAATGTACATGAAGGCGTGGCAACTGGGCGGTCGCCGCGCAGCTGCCGCGCGAAAACTTTCTCCTCGTGCGTCTGGGCGCTAACAGTTGCAGTGCTACTAGAGCTTTAAATCACAAAGATCTGGGGGGCACTGCACTGCGCCCGACACCCTGAGATATAAGTTGTCAAGTCCCATATGTCCCAGTCACCAGCACCCTTACCCTTCAAAACCGGAACACAGTAATGCTAACATTACTGCTTGGCGGCAGAAATAGGTAAGGTGGCAGTACCGCACTGGATGAATTCTTTCACGAGAAGCTCTACTGCTACTAAAATTATCTGATATGGGAAAAAATAATCATAAGTACATGTTGCCACAGAGACTCGAACCGTCGACCTCATTCAGTTGAGAAGCAGCCCACTTTTGATAGTGAAATAGTTTTATGTATGTCTGATTCTTCTAGTTTTATGTATAATCTCTGTACAGAGTACTAAAAAAACAGACCTCAAAAGTACGTGGAATTTTACATATAATTAACAAGTTTTATTAAAATCGGTTACCGGAAAGTGCGCAGACCCGGATTCATCCCCTAGTTCGTCACTATACGGGACTTGACACAGGAGATGATAAAAATCGGTACTCACTACTCACAAGTATTGTATGATATATAATTGTTCATTATACTAAAATTTTTTTAATGTTTAAAATTTAATTTTTTTTTAAATTAAAATTTAGACGCTATTTATAAAAATGAATCTTCGTGCGTGAACAGCCACCCTTACAGGTGGATGATTTGGTTCTTCAAAATTAAATGGGACCACTATGGAGGTACCCTCTTTCCAACAAAAAAAGAATCATGAAAATTGGTTCACAAATACCGGAGTTATCGCCTAACATACATATATACAAAAAAAACATACAGTCGAATTGAGAACCTCCTCCTCCTCCTCCTCCTCCTCCTTTTTTGAAGTCGGTTAAAAAACGACCACACGACGTTCCACCGATTTTAACATATTTTATCAAACTTACTTTTGCTATGCGTTTAGATGGTAATGATAATTTTCTCAAACATGCTCGGAATTGCTTGCATTACTTTCAAAAAACGAACACGGAAAGAGAATTAATAATACCTATCTTTACCGCTTACTTAACAAAAAAGAAAATGGTGGTAACACTTAGACTAAAAAAGTGTTTTGGTATTCTTTTGTTTTTTCGTCTTTTTTGTATTTTGGTCGCGAAAATGAGTGCTAGTGAGAAGAGCGATAACGAAAATACAGTAATAAGGATACATTCAAACACGTCATCAGAAATTCAGCAGACTATTATTAATGTGCCTGGAAAAACAATAACAATTGTATTCATTTTACTGTTAATCAATATTTTTTTTCCTTTTCTATTATACATCTTGCTCTCTTCAGTATTTTATTATTTCCTCGCATTGTTTGAGAAAACTTCTATACATGCCTCCCGGCCTCTGCAATAATGTACTAATAACTAACATGTAAAAGTTTGCAAAAGAAACATCATACAGGTGGAAAAAATCAATCGGACGTGAAGAGATACTACCTTAAATGCTCAAGATAGCTATTTTACTTAAAGGATGTTTTTTACTTATCTTAATACTAGCTTCTGCATTTTTAGTTGGTTCGTTTCCCGAATCAGATAAGTAAATAGAAATAATAAAATCTGTAAATGCAGTTATTCATACCAAAAACTTAATCCACCCTGTATACTTGAGTAAGTAGATTAATGAAGTCTACAAAAACTATTCCTTTGAATTTTCAACACTTTTCTTCTAAGGATCTTTATTGTGTTACCAATAATTTATGCACGAACATGTTTTTTTCAGCTGCCCAACCTAGAGCCAACGAAGAAGGGAGTTCTGTGAAGAAGAAAAAGAAGTAACTTTAGTTTTATTAGTATTTTCGTTTGTAAAGGGTGGCTCTACTTTTCATAACACTTGTAGTACTACTTTTAAAGTGTGAGCTATTAGAGTTTCACGTAAGTTGATTTGCATTATCAACTACACGAACGACTGTGATTACTTGTTCCTCTTGTTAAATGTAAGTAGTCAGATATCAACAGCTGTGGTAGCCTAAGGGTTTGACCAATTGCCTCACAAGTATAGGCTGTCGGTTCGAATCCGGGCGCGCTTCTCTGACCTTCTAGGAATTTACGTGTGCGAAATTTAATCTGAAATTTACCATGAACTTTTAGTGAAGGTAAAACATACCTGCTCATCAAAGAAGGTTCACAACCCTCGGAAAACGTGTGAGTGTCAGATATTACAAGTAACGATTGTCAGTCTCAGGATGAATAATTTTAACAATAATTGTGTTTCACTTAGAGGATAGTCTAAGGTGTTTCGTTACGAACGTATTGGCTATGACGGCCAACGTGTTCGCCGTGAGTGGTGATCTAAGCTGACATGTCATCAGATATTTTTGTTGTGAACTGTCGGTAAACGTAGGTTATTTGTTGACTAAACATGATCAAAATAACCAAAATGTTCCTAATTAATATGGCGCTACTTTTGTTATCAACATTTCTCATATTTTAACAAAATAGTAATCTGTGATTAGAAGAAATTAAGACAACAGGATGCCGATAAATTTCGGGTAGTGGCGATGCAATGGAATGCAAATTTAAACCTTCTGCTTATTGGACGGCTTATTGAATTATATAACCTTTACAGCTTTTTGACCTGATATACCAGAATGGAACTGATTTAGGTTAAGCATATGAAGTGTGTTTTAGTTTAGTTTTAATTGACACGTTGTAATAAACAGTATTATTTAAATTTTATACTGTTTTATTTTTTTTATATATTTACTGTGATAACCAGGGTTGTTGCTGATCATCGAGTATATAAATTCATCCCTGGCAACTCATCAGGGAAACGAGTCTTATATCACTTTTGAATGTCAACTCTCGTTTGCGCTAAAATAAAAAATTAGAAATAGTACAGCGCCAATAATTGACCTATTTGTACGTCTCTGAAAATTCAAAAAATAGTCTGTGTTTATTGTAATAAAGATATCTCTAACAATGGAGGCTGTTCCATTCGGTGGTGTAGGAAAAACAGCAAAACAACTAGTTACAAAACAAACGGAGTCACACTTTATCGGTGGATAATTAAATATTAATTATGTTATGTTGCAATTTTCGTCTAATAAAGCAAAGCTCAAGTTAAACTGGTCGATTTAAAGTGAAACAATTTGGCGACGCTGGTCAGTTTCGAATTCGAGAATTTATGGATGTATTTTATGTACGACACAAGTTGTTTTTCGATATACGAAATTTTATAAAATGAAATCTAATACTATCGTGACGCATAGGATAGCTGTCTAGCACAACTTCTACCTCCGGCAAACTTGCGTCAAAGCACAATGTAAAACAAAGCAGTTTTGAATTGACGACATCACGACGATATATTAAGCAACCATTTTATTTTCGTTTTAATAAAACTTTTTGATCAGCTACGCCTTGCAAATACTAGTTAAAAATCTAAAAACTTATAGGTGCGACTCGCATTTGATTATATTTTTTTCGATAATTAATTGAGATTTGACTTCACTATTGTAATCTGTCAAGACGGTCATAATAGCGTGCCGGTACTGTAAAGTATTGTAAAATAGGAAATGAAACTATTTTTCGGTCCAAATTTTTGTTTGCTCAAACACACCAACGTTTCGGACCTTTTACAGGTCTATGATCGCGACTGTTGTCAGCACAGTTTAAATCTGAAAACGCGTCCCGTCGTCGCTTAACAAGTATGATGCTCTTATCTATCTATGACTTAACATCAGGTGAGATTGTGGCCAAGCTTGTGTCTATTATATATATAAAAAAAAGGTTATTCTCGGATTCACTATAGGTCCTACCTAATTTCCGAGGCGATTTTTATTACTTAAATATTCAAGTATATTCGTTTCATTTTTCAGCCATCACTGTCCCACGGCAGGGCAAAGGCCTCACTAGCCTTTTTCCACTCTTCGCGATTTAACAGGCCAAGGCCTCATATACGCGTCCAATTCGTCACGCCATCTCGTTCTGGGTCTTCCACGGCTTCGTCTTGCGTTTGGTGGGATCCACTCCGTAGTGCTCATTGTCCATAGTTCGTTTGACATGCGGCAAACGTGTTCAGCCCAGTTCCATTTTAAGCTCGCGGCTTTATGGCCAACGTCAACGATTTGTGTTTTGGAGCGCAGTATGCTATTTCGCACGCGGTCTGACAGTTTTACTTCGAAGATACTGCGCTCCATGCCTCGCTGACACACCCCTAATGCGAACTTCTGACGATTCGTCAAAGACCAAGTTTGAGCACCGTAAGTAAGGACGGGGAGAATGCCCACGTCCATGAGCTTTCTTTTAATGGTAACTTTCCCTTCATCAGGTCTTTCATTGAACAAAAACTTCTCCAGGCATTGCAACCTCTTTTACTTGTCTTGCCTGTTCGAGAGAGACTATTGGGCCAAGGTAAATACTCCTGGACGTACTTAATCCCCGAATCTCCCACACTCACACTGTTGCGTGCTGTTACTCATAACCTTGGTCTTCGATATATTCATCCTCAGTCCGACGCAGACGCTTGCGTTGTTAAGTTGGTTGATCATTTCACAGAGATTGGTTAGTCGTTTATCTCCTACTTCCAGCAGTCAGCTAATTGCTTGAAGACCTCTTCTAAGGTGGCGGTAGAGTTTAGGAGACAGTGGATCGCCCTGCTTTACTCCTTTCTGTATTGGAAAAGATGGTTCGGAGATTTGCAATTTGACTGCAGCGGTACTTTTGCGATAGATGTTTTGAAGGAGTATATAAGTAGGTTCTATTTGTTGGTTACGCAGTGATTGAAAGATGGAATTGTGAATTAAGACTATCAAACGCCTTAGAATACTCGATGAATGCAAGGCCCAAAGGTAGTTGGTATTCTATATGCTTCTCTAAGAACTATGTGTAGGTGGTCTGTGGTGGAGACCCGACGACGAAATCCAGCCTGTTCTGCAGGTTGGTGTAGGCCTCTAACACAAGATACGCGTTTGCGCGCCGCCGTAACGTGGCCTTTTTAAGGATATCCCAATCTGATTGAGATATGTACGCCGAGGTCTATGTAGGTTAAATAAAAACGATGGTATATTATTGTATTTTTTATTGAAATTCGATTTATGATACAACTTCATTAATTACAATAATCAGACCGCGTTATTACACTAGAATCGAAAGTTAAGATTAATCGCTATCTATACAATGTAGCTTACACACGCGTTCTTTACATTTAGGTTAAAGTCGGAACTGCACGTGTCAGCAATTAACTAAATACAAGCTATTAACAGGTTGTAAAGAACAAACCTTTAAAGAAGCTGTTAAACCGTAAACTATGGAAATTCTGTAGTTATTTATAAGTGAAAAATTTATTTTTCGGTTTACGGAATTGGTATTAAAGCAATATAATTTGCCGTCAACAGTCGTATATTATACGCCCGTAAGAATAAGCAATAAAATACACAAGACATATTTGTTCCGGTTCAAATGATCATCACATCACAAACCCGGACACATAATTTGAGCCATCTTGCTTTTTTTTCTTTGAGGGGCTAAAGTCTGTCCTTTTTGAAGACGGAGTAAAATGACATTTGCAGGGTTGCCAGTTTTCATAAAATTTTAAACAGTCGTGTAGTTGTTGTCGAAAGTTTTAACGATAGATTGTGAAAGAACGTACAATTTGGCACAAATGTCTGCATTGTGAATGTTACGACGTTCTAATGAATACTAATTGTTTTGTTACCTTCTTTATTCTTATTTTAATGAGAGCAGGCGGATAATCAATTAAATCAAACAAATCTACGTTGAATGAATCTTTACAATGTCTTCGCATTTTTAATAGACCTAATTCGTAATGTGTATTTATATATGAACTTATAGACAGACTATAGAATACAAAAATTACTTATCATCGGAGAAAAAGATTTCCCCGGTTTTACAAATTTAAATTTTCTACAAGAACTTATGAAAATGTTTAATAATGTTTGTTTTGTTGAGTAAGGGAAGCACCTGGGGAAGATGGACTTGAAGCCTTAATTCATAATCTAAAGAGTAGCACTATATTAGCTCAGTCGGTAAAACATTTTAAAATTGCATAAGTTTTTTTTTTTTTTTTTTTTTTGACCAATGAGACAGATTATTTAAGGTTAGCGCATTTAATACAGCAAATTATTTGTCCGAGAATATATGATTGTTGAATAAATACCATATTATTTGCCTTCCAGTGGCAGTACTAATAGGTAACCTTATTAGATTGTGTGATTTAGTTCATAAAGCCTAAAAAAACCCATTTGTTAACCAAATGTACTGTGTGATTACTTTCAGTGTGGTGATAATTTGTTTATTATAATGTGAAATTATTAATGATTGTTCCTTGGCTATAGGCGTAGCAAAAAAAATATTTCGGAGAAGTGTCGCATCGACCCTGTAAAAAAATGTAAAGTGCGTTTCGGCGAATCAGCCAAAGCGTAATAAATTATTCTTGTTTGTTTTTTAAATAAAAACTAAACTGGGGCCTTACCATGAACTCTTTAGTTTAGGATCTAAAATAAATCGTTGTGAGACAGCGCTACATGAAGTGTATATCACCATCCCGCTTTTTTGTCGTTACGAACCTATACTGAACTGTAATAAGAGTTCATGGTAAGGCCCCAACGAGACGTGTCAGACGCTAACTAACCACTTCTACTGTATTTATTGTTCTGTTAAACAATGGAATGGAATGGAATATTTCCATTGTTTCAAAGAACTTTTTTCAGAAAAGCATGCGTCTATCAGGAACAGGTAGCCAGTTGGTGATAACCCCAGAACAATAAATACAGTACAAGTGGTTAGTTAGCGTCCGACGCGTGCCAATTATAGGTCTCGAAAGACCTACTTGAGGTTAGTCCGTCATTTTCGCTTTGTACGGCATGGTTGTGTCATTCTTTCGCGCAAATTCTCTAAAATCGTAGAAAAATGCCTTATTGTGCTGTTTCGGAGTGCAAAACTAATAGCTGCACCAAAAATATTACTCGTAGTAGCATTTCAAATAATCGGTAATACTTATTTGAATAATTTTCTGATTATCTATTCGTTCAGATGTTAATCGTTCTTCGTAGTCCAGCTACTGGTCGCAAGATGGCAGTATGTTGAATAAAAGTTCAATATAAACTCAAAGCCTCATAACTTGCAATAAAGATTGAACTTTCAACGATGTAGCGACTGGGTAAAGTTTAAATTATATTAACAATCCAGAATTTGATACATCTTTTTCAATTAGAAACTATGACCA